ATACTGTGCATACGTGCTATATGACGTGAGAGAGAGTAAGCTTTGAGCTCGGTAAAGGAATAGAGAAATATGTTTTTCGTCTTGTCACGAGCGTGGGACAAAGAAACATTCTGAGTCCCCATGAAAGCTCCTCATAGAATAGTTCTCCTTTAATTAAAATTGCTTCTTGCTACTTATCCCCTCTCTGGATTTCACCTCACCTCCAGGAACTTTTTTATGTTTGAAATTAGGATGGCGGATCTCACCTTACTTCCTTTTTTCAACACGTCATTTTATTGTTTTAACACTTTACACCCTAATATCAGTACGTATATTCTCCATAATGTCCTCTTTACATTTGTTAAGGTGCTGACGAGGAGAATTTGTTTATCAATCAAGAGCGTTTCTAGTTAGCGATAATTTCCTTTATTCTCGTGACCTTAATGTGCAACTCAGGGGTGACTTTGTAAGGAGAAATTAGATGCTAGTCACTCCTAGAGACCAAAGGCTTAAACTAGATGTTTTCCTCTCTCAGAAATTCCTAGCTTGCAAGTGAGATTGGTCAAATTGCAAAAGGATTATATCCCATTCCCTACATTTTCAACATACTCTTTTTTCTTGCTGAGCTCGTTTTTCCTTTCCTTAGCAAAGTGGCAAATATGCATCAAAAATATTTATATTTGTCCCCACCTTCATTAGGTGTAATCTCGTTTCCGAAACTTCTCAATACAAATTACTTCGACCTTGTATCCGCGTTGCTTTATTTGCACGTGGAAATTTTTCTACCCCATTGCATTGTTGGGTTCCTCGTGGTTTGAGCTGCTACACTTCTTAGGTGGAGAGATTCAGGAAACCCGTGTAGTTATTAAGTATGAAAAATCTAGGGGTTGTTTTTGTTTGAAGACCTCACATAGCCTGACAGCTTAGAGGAAGTTGCTCAGCCCTCCGCATAAGGTAAGAGTGAGATTGAGCTCGGGTTGTTGTATTGCGTACTTATTGAAGTTGGATGAGGTCTAACTTTACAGTGAAAGTGTTCCGAGCTGACTTTCGATAAATTGAGTCACACTCAGGAACCCATTTAGCTTTCGTTCCCGCAAATTTGTCACTCCTCTATTTGGAATTTTACGAAGTCTCTGAGGTTTATTTTTAGTCAACTGTTGTGGTTCATTTAACAAGTTTAATAAATCTTTTCTACAGAGTTTGGACTTAAGCCTTTTTTTTTTCGAAAGTGAATTTTTTTTACAGAAGCAACTGAATTCCATACGCAGTCGCTAAACTTGGGAAGTAATAGTGTTGCAATTGTGTCCCCTTTAGATTACTATCAAGGAGGAATTGGAGAGGAACAGAGGTAAATCGGCAGGGAAAAGAGGCAAAGAATAAGCCCCTCAAAGTGAGCTACAGTTTTTGTTTCAAAACAGCCTCATTATGTGTACACGTGGCTGATATCTCCTGGGCAGTGTATTGAAATTTGCACAAAAAATCTGTGTAGATCAATCAGAATTACCTATCCTAGTAGCATGTTCGGTTGTGTAGGTCAGATGAAAGGTTTCAAACGACATCAGTATTTTTACTCGTTCTTTGTATGTTGACTCGCCTTACAAGCTCGTCAAAATACTCAGCGATACTACACACAAAAACGTCTAATAACATATTTTTAATACAGAGTTAAAGGTGTATTATTATTATCAGAAAAGATTGAACGGAAAGAATAGTTTACCGTAGGTAAAGCTTTTGCCAGGTTGGGACCTAGATTATAAAAGTGTTTCAAGAAATTGCCAGCGATTTCTTTGGGATCTGTGACAGTCCTGCCTTCCGTATCAAATGACGAGGGTAAAGAGGGCTTTCTCTTTCTCTTTTTTATAGTTTCGTTAATCAGTCTCCAGATTAATTTGAGGTCGTTTTTTGCTTCTTTGAATCTATTGTTATAATAGTGGAGCTCGCAGCATAATTATACAAAATAGTAGTAATAGTAGTACAAGGTGCTACTTTTAGCATGCCGTCAAACATTTAACAATTAGGTTACGGACCACAAATATGTGGTGCAAACAAACTCACGGGTAAAATGGAGGTAGTGCTACAGCGGAATGAATGAATTTCATTGTTTGGTTGTCGAGTACTTTTCAGCGCTATGTTTTCATGCTTTCTGCCAACTTCAGGAAATGGTTTGTCTCACAAAACATGGAGCCACTTTCTCTTCGCTCAACAGCTCAAGGCGGACTTATTGCTCGGGTTATGATGAACATGCTTGCGATACGATAATTTTTTCCTAATGCTGGAAACTTAAGAATCGATCTCTGAAACTGATAGTCGTCACAATTTGCAAGATGCGTCCGAGCTGTAATCGTGTAATTCAACGGGGTCCTGGAAATTTGACCTCACAAGCACGCTGGTAAGCACGTGGTTAGCATAAATAATTGTTGTTTACAGTTTTCGAATTCAAGAGCAATTTTTGAGAGTCCGTTTCAGTAACATTCCTAGATATTTTCTGTTGAATTCATTGAGGTACAATCTCGGAATTTCATCGGCGATTATGAACGATAAATTCGTATCAGCACCATAATTTAGGGAAGTTTTGTCAATACATTAACAGTTTACAATTCGTGGAACATTTCTGTAACCTGCTTGGATATTCTCTTTTGAATTAATTGAGTCACACCCACGGAATTTTATCAATAATTAAAAACGATAAATCCGTATTTGTAGCACAAGTGATGCACCTTTTAAACTTAATACGATTTTAGGAAATCACACTTAGTTGACTCTCAATAAATTGGCCTAGCATAACTCGTTGATTATTTTATTATTTTGTAGCCCCAAAAGCCCGGCTTAAGACTCTGGCAGTACTGAACTTGATATATTTGATAAACAAGGCACCCTTCAAGCAGGAAGGTTAGAATATAATTGCTTTTACGACCGTGTATTGCACCCGGTTTCGATATGTGGATAATTACTTTAAAAAAAATTCCTATTAAAGCTGTATTCAGATGCACAGACATTAAAGTAACATGCTTCTGCTTTATTTTATTGTAAGGGGTTTCTTTTTATGTAACATACATCCATTCCTTCAATTTCGTAACCTGCCTGCAAATAATTAAATTTTTATGTTTTAATTAAAGTGTGAAAAGATAAAACAGAAGTATTGCAGAGTTCTCTTTCCAGATTGAATTCAGTTGAGAACATCAATAAAATGATTTGTCATAAGCTTCTCCCGAATCTTTAATTTTATTGTCCTGGTTTTTTTTTCACAAAGTCTCTTTTATATCTGTGTGTGTCAGCTTATGAGTAAAACCTCTGTGAATAGATATGCCTTTTTCAAATTCATAAATGGCATTTCCTTTTCATCCTTGTAAACAGATATTACATATTTCTTTAACTAAAATCTGAATCAAGAAATCAACTTAATTTCAATGAGTTTGAAACTTCATTCTACATAAGAACATTTTACTGGAGTATAATGTTATATTTATTTGCTGTCTTTCTCGTACATATGATTACCATATGTGTCTTAACCCTTTAACTCTCAAGATTTCATCAGTAATTCTCCTTACTGTCTGTCATACAATTTATGTGATGTTATTTTGGAGAATTTGGGATTGTATCAACCAATAATTCCCTGATTGATATTTTTCTTTATTCTCATTACTTGCCCACATGATATCATTCTGATAGTGTGAGGAGAAATTCTGTCTTGGTCACTAGTGGGACTAAGAGGGTTAAAATGGGGGATTTCATTACTTTGTCATGATTAAAATATGCTTTTGCTTTCAAATGTAACAAAACAATGTGACGAGAACCTGGTGTTTTGAAACACTTACAATGGAAGAACCTGTTGCTGGTAGCTTATGTCCTAAATATGTAAAATTTTCTTGGGAAATGCTTTTCTTTGAAAGCGGGGATATAGAAGTTTTCAAAGCTGATAGAAATAAGCTGCTTGCAAATAATGAAAAGTAAATTGACAATCATACCTTAATGCTTGACATGCTTGAGCGATGTCAATATCTCGACTACAGATATCGACTCCTATGGCACCGAAGAGGCTGATTCGTCGGTGCCACTTTGAGAAGTCCAATGATTCTGATGTATTAATAACTGTGGCGTTAAAGTATGTGTAGCTCGGAAGTTATACATCTGTTGTTTTTAGACATAGTACCACAAAAACTAGCGTCGGTGATCCCATTCTCAAATTGAAAGTGAGTGAATAAATATTAGATATGGCTAACAACTGCATAAATTAACGTCAAGGGTCACGTATCTCAGAGAGACGTGATCACGAATTTTTTACAGAGGCCAAATTTTTTTTTGCTCTGAAACGTATTGTTAAGATGAGTCTTTCCTGTTATGGGATTTTTGTCGTTATACAATGCTGTCAATTGGAGATATTTGCAATTAAAAAACCTTATTTTTTTGGAATAGTTGCGTGACAATTAATGATTAACTGCTCAAAGACTGGCAGAAGTTATATCAAATTACCTCAATTTTAAGGAACTGTTTCCTTGAGGCTCAAATACCTCTTGACCATAATAAGATTAAAATCCATCGCATTCTATTAGTGTGAGAAATTCGTTGGAAATGCATTTTTCGAGCTAATTTTAGCCTTTAACCCCAGGGATTTGATGAGGGGGTTCTAATACCCCAGGGATAAACCGGGAGCCCGAACTACTCTGGAGTCTTGAATAACCTGTATTGGAATTAATATTTGATGCTAGAATACTAATCACCAGAACTGCATCGCCAGAATATTTTTGATTATAAGACGAGTATCAAGTCACCTGGGTTGAGGAGAAACGATTAAAGAAATGCACTGAAAAGCATTGAGAAACAAAACAACCTTCTTGCGATCATAGCGTTTGTTGATGTTTTCTGCGAGGAAAGCGTCAGTGGACCGCATGCAGACACTCCTACCAGATGCATCCTTCATCCCGCCACCTTGCCGCCTTAACAATGCACAACAGTGCTTTCTGTTTTACTCTGTAACCTGGTTTAAAAAACCACTCACGATATTTTCTAAGATTTCTCTCAAGCTGTCTTTTATTTTAGCGTCTTTGGAATTACTCCAAATTCCAATAAGAAAGTTTGCAAAAAAACAAATTGTGTAAAGTGTGGCAAAAAACATATTTTGATTCCTTAAACAACATTTTGACAATGACCTGACTTGAAAACGATTAAATCGCCATGCAAACATACATTATCTCAAACATCACTATGCGTAAGAGACTTGTTGAACCAGTTTCAAAATATTGCTGTCGTAATTTTTCCACACTATAGTAATAAAATGCTCGACCTTGATGGCATTTTCCATGGTCCTATTTAGAAATCCAAGCCTCCTTTTTTCAGTTTTAAAGCACTCAGAAATAGTACTGGAACTGACCAGAACAAAAGGTTTCTGTTGAGATTTTGCATCAGAAATTTAGGATTCTGTTAACGAAACCTAAAACAAAAGGCTTTGCGAGAAAACCCTGTAAGACTTAACAGGCTCGTTTTGGATGCTTAAACTACTGTTTTAACTTTCCTGATTTCACTTCATAAGAGCCTTACGTCAAAAATGTTACGTGCTAATTATATCGGCCGGATAAGATAATTTTTGTAAAGAGATAAATATCTCTCCAATACATAAACAATACCTCCTTCTGAAAAGCTCAAAAAAGAGAACGCAAAAAACTGAAATTATTATGCTTAATTGAAGATTGCCCATTCTTGAATTACACAATGAAATAACGGATAGAGTATTTCCTCTAATCATTCTATTTGTTTATCCATTTAAAAGTCTCTGAGGTCTGTTTCCTTCAAGGTATTCTCATCATTCATCCGTCGGGGTCTTCTTTCCTGTAAAAAAACGTAAAAAAATAAAAACCATATTATTATAAATAACTAATCAACATTTCTTAACTAAAGCAATACAGAGATTCTATATTTTACACCTAACAGGGAAAGTTAATTGTTACTCTTAGAAAACAAAAACAAAAAAAACGTAGAAAACTAGCCTTGATATTCAAGGTGACGAAGCATTCCCGCCGACAGTCAGCGACCAGTAAACCATAGCCACCTTCACGTTTAATTTAACTTTGATTCGTGAAATATCTTTTCGGAACGAGTCTTACCTCTGCATGTCAAACTTGAGTCTCACATCATCTCCAATCAGCGTAAACGAAGCCCACTCAGACACTTTGGTCAAGCCGTTTTTTCTCATCCACTTCATGGCCTGATGAAGGGATTCACTGGCACTTTCTCCTTTAACAAGGTGTTCGTAAAACCGACTCATTAGCTTCTCTGTTGCTGAGTCTGAAATAGCCCACAGCGCAACCAACACCGAGCGAGCACCAGATCCTAAGAACGCACGGGCAATTCCTATGACTCCCTCGGCTCTAATCTCTCCACTTCCACTGTGACAGCAGCTAAGTACCACCAGTTTAGCTCTGACTTTTACTCGTGAGACATCAGCCATCGTCAACATGTAAGCTTCCTGTGGAGGGACAGCGTTTCGATTGTTGGGAGTAGGAATGGGGGAGAGGGCAATTTCTCCCCTCTCGGCGTTACCATGGGCAGCAATATGTATCAGGCTCACTGAACTTATCCGCTCAAGCACCGCCTGCTTCGTTGCTTCCTTTTCTAGCAGAGGCGGAACACCCACTAATCGTCCGACCATCTCCGCTTCTTTTCTTGCACCTGGCAATGACGGCAGCCGATCAACCTCGGGATTGCCTATTATCAAGGCACCAGTGTTGCTGTGATAGTCCTCTGGACTATCTTGAATCATCTTGAGTGTCGTCAAAGAAGGAATGACACGAATCCTATGAGTCTCCGACAGGTATTTGGTTCCGTCCTTTTCTCTTAGGGCAGCAAAGGGAACTTTGTACAAACTGCGGTCAGGAACAATAATAACTTCAGGCTCCTCGAGCAAATCGTAAACGGGGGCAATAAACATTTTGTAACACAAAGGTAGACTTGAAATGACTCTCTCGTCCTCTTCCAAGAGTCGCAATCTTTCTGACCTCTTTTGTTGAGGGGAGAGAGGTTGCAATTCAACCATATTTAAAGACCGATCTTCACAATCTTCA